GAAGCTGTCTTTCATAACAGTCTGACTTTCTCTGTGGCTTTTTTTTTCAGGCTTTTGCCATGCCTGATTTCAGTCTGTGGCACCTAGCAAAAAGATACTTCCAAAGATGGCAAACACCGTATTTTGAGAGAAGAATTTTGGTGAAAGTTTATAAGGAAAAATACCTTCTTTCTTTGGAGATGGGATGAACTAAGTTTGAATATAACTATTAACTCAAAGAAGTAACAAAAATACATATTTCACTTATTTATTCATTTGAGGACTCCCTCAGCAAATAGTCATTGGACAAGCACCATAGCCTTATTCTAGATCTTGGATGTCATGTAGCTTACCTTCTGGGGTGGGGGGAGCAAAAACTTAAAAGATTACAAGTTGTAAGGAGAATGCATAATGGTAAATAACTCTAGACAGAGTGGTCAGAGACCTCTCAGAGGAGGTACCAAAGCAGAGATGAGTGATGTGAAGGAGTCAAGTCAGCTGTGTCAATGTCTACGGAGGTACTTCAGGCAGAGGGAACAGCCAGTGCAAATGCTCTAAGGCAGGAGAAAGCTTGGGGTACTTGAGGGACATCTCAAGACTCTGGAGACCAGTTAGGTGACTAGTAAGGAGACCAGTTAAGAGATTAGTTAGGAGATGAGTTAAGAGACTAGTCAGGAGACCAGTTAGGAGACTAATTGCAGTAGTCCAAGTAAGAAGCATATGGCCTTGACCGGGGTGGGACCTGTGTCAGCAGAGCAGAGGGTATGCATCTGGGCGCAGTCTGGAAGTAGAATCACAGACTTAGTATTGATGGGCAGTAATGCAGGAAAGAGAGGATGTCAAAGGTCACCCCAATTTTTGGGCTCCATGAAAATGAGTGTCAGTGAGCTTCCCTGCTCCCCATTAGCCCCCATGAAGACACTGCTTCTACTCTGAGTCACCAACCGGGCCTCCCGTGCAGCACAAAAGATCCTGAAAGAGTGAGAATTAATTTTTGGCTCCTTTGGGCTGACATTTTGCACAGAAGCATGGCCCCCTGACCCTCAGGGCAATTTGGAAGATGTCTGAGCCAAATGAGTTGAGCCTGGACATTCTCATTAGTTAAGAGGACCTAACCTTCTCTCTCTATGAGCCACTTAGGAGCTTGGCTCCTTCCTGAGGACCCCCTCAGCTCTCTTGAACTCTTACCACCTCCATAAACTACCCCAAGAACAGTTACATGCTCTGGCCTGGCTGAAGCTGACTGCAAATTCACCTTTCCATCAGCCACCTGCCCTGCATAGTCCTGTCTTCTATAGCTCATGCTTGTCAACTCTCTGGCCAGCTCCTAGGCCGGCCATGGGGCTCTAGGCCTCACAGCCCAGCCACCATGCATCCATGGCCAGAGCCCCAAACTCCCTGGCAGGGCTCCATGCTATAAAAGGCTTTGGCTCAATCCAGCCTGATATTCACGCTTAGATAATGACTTTGAGCATCGCTGCTGCTCTCCAAACACAAGGAAAAATCTGGCCCAGGGCTGCCCGAGGCTGCCACCCTGAGCTTAGTTCTGAGACCGTGGGCTGGCTGAGGCTCCAGGCAACCATGGAGGAGATGAACATTACATGGAAGAAGAAGAAAGCTGAGAGTAAAGGTAAACTATAGAGAAGTGACTCAGTGCATATGGATGATGCCAGGAACTCTGTGCACTGCTTCCCCTGGATTATCTCATCGCATCCTGAGACGCAGAAAAAACTGTGTCTCTTTTTAACATAGAAACATTAAGGAACCTGTCAGTGGTCTCCTAGCTAGGAAGTGGCGGGCGCAGGTGGGATTCAAAGCCCACAATGTCAACCACGTGACACTGTGGGAAGGAGAACCACTTGGCAGCTCAGGCCTTTTTAACCATCTCTAAACACATAATCCTAAATGGTTAAAATCGGGAGAAATTTTGGGAACCAAATAATTCAAATGCTTCTTAGGCAGATGGGGAAAAAAAGATTCAGAAAGGGAAAGTGATAATACTTGGTCAACCTGATACTTCTTATTGGAGTAGAACTGAGAGCAATTCAAGTTGTCTGGATCCCTACTGAACAGTCTTGGGATAACTGACTCCAGGATTTCACAGTTGTGAACTTTTTTTCTTCTTCTTGCAACAAACACCTCTCCACACTTCCCATGGAGTGGCTTCTATTGCAGAAAACACTGTTCACCTTGGCTTAAATGTCTGGGCGATGGGCACTGTGTCCACCTTGAAGATAACAGGAAATCAGAGACTGAGACATGAAACTTATTCTTTTTTCATCAAATGAAGAGATGTGTTGACCCATCAGGTAGTCCACTGTTCTGAAACTTTCCCTTCCAATTATGTTTTCATAATTACTAACTTCAAAGGACACTTTCTAGTCTAATTTAATGCACGACACTTGTTCTTTATTGTCATAATAAATAAAGGGAATCTCACAAAACTCCTGTGACCCCTCCCCCACCCAGTTTTTTCTTCCCTTGTTTGTCCTTTCTGTTCCTCTTTATTCTTCTCCCTGAAATGCTATTTTTTTTTGCCTGTCCCTTACAATTAATTATTCTACTGAATCCTGCCCCAGCTCTCTATTCTTCTCTTTTAATAAGTTGTTCTTGTTTAAACAAATCAAAACTTTTCCAAGACGGTAATAAATGCTCCACCTAACCCTCTCTGTTTCATGACTTTACTTAGTCTCCAGATTTCTTAAAGACAACTACAGTCAGTGAACAGGAAGTGATAACAGTAAAGTTGGACTTCTACATCCAGGGACAAGTTCAAAAAAACAAAGAAAGAGAAACTGGTCAATTAGGGTTGAAAACCAGGTAGAACCTAATCAGCATGCTCGGGACTAACAGGGTTTTGGAAGAAACTTGTCATAGGTAATCTGGGCAGGACATATTGATAAAGTGAACTTTGCTCACATTATTTAGCAGGAATCAGTGAACCTGATGTTTACCTCATACAAAATAATTTAAAAACGATGTAATTTTGAGAATTATAAATTGAGAGAAGGATTTGGAATGGGCTGAGTTCTAATTGACATGGAGAAGTCAGTATTTTACTTCACAATCCAGGCCTCTTTCCTGGCCCCTGGCTGACATGGCTTTTTAACAAGCCAGTCTTACCTCCAAAATGAATGGACTCAGCTAACGCTCTGTAGTTGGCCCACATCATAGCAAACAGGTGAATATCTAAATTTACCTTTCTTTTTTGACTTTTAATGTTTCCTTTTTTTAAAAAAATTATCTTTATTGTTGTAAGTATTATAGATATCTCCCTCTTCCTCCCCACTGAGCCCCTGACCCACACCTGCCCACACCTGCCCCCAACTGTAGGCCTTCAGTGCACTATTGTCTGTGTCAATGGGATATGTATATATACATACAAATTCTTCGGTTAATCTCTTCTTGCCTCCACCCCTTCCCTCTGAAATTCGTTAGTCTGCTCCATGCTTCCATGTCTCTGGATCAATCTTGTTCGTCAGTTTATTTTGTTCATTAGATCCCACATATAAGTGAGATAGTGTGTCTTTCTCTGACTGGCTTATTTCACTTAGCATAATTCTCTCCAGGTCCCTCTATGCTGTCTCAAAGGGTTAGAGATCCTTTTTTCCCCCAGCTGCATAGTATTCTATTGTGTAAATGTACCATATCTCTATACACTCATCTATGGATGGGCACTTGAGCTGTTTCCAGATCTTAGCTAATTGTAAATCTAATGTTCTTAAAGCATCTTCACACAACTAGGAAAGACACCATGGGCACTCTGGCCCTTGTTAAAATGAACTGATCCCTGGTGAGTCTCTGCTATAGGGCCATGGGGGTTATGAATATGAACAGCAACCAGGTCACCTCTGCTTTTGCTTGGTCTGAACCTGTCACAGTTGGTCAACTTGCTCAATTCACCTCCAGAAACTCAGAGAGAGGGGGCGGCGGGGTGTAGAATCCGGCCTCAAAGTCCTTCAAAGTTGTTTTTTTTTGGTTAATCCTCACCCAAGGTTATTTTTTTTTCCATTGATTTATTTAGAGAGAGTGGAAGGGAGGGGGAGAGACAGAGAGAGAAAAACATTGATGTGAGAGAGACACATTAATTGGCTGCCTCCTGCATACACCCTGACCAGGGCGGGGGACTGATCCTGAAACCAAGGTACATCCCCTTGACTGGAATTTAACCAGAGACCCTTAAGTCTGCAGGATGAAGCTCTAACTAGTGAGCCAAACCAGCTAGGGCCAAACTTGCTTTCTTTTAATTCAACAGAGAGGAAATGGCTAATTTCTTAAACTGTTAGTTTTTTCGGAAAACAAAATTTAAAATTGAACAAGCTATGGAAATAGGACTTGATGTGAAGTAGCATCAGGTCCAGCTGGACCAGGTCAAAGCAAAGACTAGCTGTGAGGCTGAACCTACTTCTTGCACAGGCCGCTAAACAGTTTGCTGCTTAAATTTCTTCCCAGTGTTGATCTTTCTCCAATGTAGGAGAAATCTTTGCAAGAAGTCTAAATGAAGGAATGGGTTTCTACTTATCATTTCAAGCAAGCCTGAATTTAGGGAGCCCATATTACCTCCCTTCATCCCTCCATCCTTTCCTTTCCTTCCTTTCCTTCCCTTCCTTCCTTCCTTCCTTCCTTCCTTCCTTCCTTCCTTCCTTCCTTCTTTCCTTCCTCCCTTCCTTCCTTCCTTCCTTTGCTCAGTTATAAGTGTTCCAAATTATCAAAGGATTTTATATGGTTTTAAAACCATAAACCTAAAGTAGCATAGGTAGAGACCTCAGAGATATCACTGGCTCCCCTCCGATTCTGGAGACAAGGACTGTGAGCTCCAGACAGTGGGAAGTGGAACTGGACATCGGTCTCTCAAATCCTCTCTCTCATTCCATTCTGTCTGGGGAGAGACTACAGGAGGCCTAGATAATTGCTTTTAGAAAGATCTCCTGCAAAGCACTCCATAGGGGGTTTTATTTTTTCCATTGTGAAGGTTAGTAACACCAGCAGAGGGGAATGACGGTGGCCTTGCCATTACTCACCAACAAACAGCTGGCTGTAGAGTTCCAGGCGTGTGTGTCCCTCTGTCGGGGCCTTTCGGATCTGCTGTGGCAGCCGATCCACCTGCAGGCTGGCCTGCTTGACATTCCTCTCCGCGGTGACCCGGTGCCACTGGTCATCATTGAGAGGGGTGGGCGACCTCACCACAATCTCCACGGGCCCATTTCCAACATCAAATGAGAAGGACACTTCTGTGGCAGCTAGAGAAGCAGAAAGCACAGAAAGCACGTGAGTATTCTCCCCCCAGATACCAAAGAGCAGAAGAAAAACAAAACAGGGAGAGAAAAATAACCTAAGTCTGTTACTTGCTACAAAGGTCCATGAAAAACAATCATTTGAATAAGGATCAGTAAGGATTAATAACCAAGGGGAGGAAAACAGACTTGTATCGTGGGCCAGGCATACATTTATTTTTTTATCTTTAGAGGCCTACGAAGAAGTTATCATCATTGGTCCCAGAAAAGAAAACTGAGGTCTGGAGAAGTTAAACACATGTGGAGGGTCTTAGATTTCATGAATAACGAAGTTGGGATGTGAACCAAGGCTTGCCAGATTTTTCAGAGCCTGGATTTAAAAAAATATTTATTTTTTATGTAAAAAGGGGAAGGAGAGGAAGAGAGAGAGAGAGAGAGAGAAAATGCTGAAGATGACTTTATTTTTTTCTTATTTTAAAAATATATTTTTATTGATTTCAGAGAGGAAGGGAAAAGGAGAGAGAATCATTGATTGTTTGCATGCTCCCCCGCCCTCCCGGGGGATTGAGTCCACAACCTGGGCATGTGCCCTGACTGGGAATTGAACCGTGACCTCAGTTCTCTCAACCTCAGAACCACACTAGCTGGGCCAGCGCCTGGATTTTTTGATTCTATACCCAATCTAACTCTTTTTTAAAAAAAAAAATATTTTTATTGATTTCAGAGAGGAAGGGAGAGGGATAGAGAGCTAGAGGGGTAGAAACATCAATGAGAGAATCATTGATTGGTTGCCTCCTGTATGTCCCCTACTGGGAGGGATCAAGCCCCAAGCCGGGCATGTGCCCTTGGCTGGAGTTCAACCTGGGACCCTTCAGACCACAGGCCGACGCTCTATCCACTGAGCCAAACCATCTAGGTCCCAATCTAACTCTTCAGTAACTCCCAGGAAGAGCTTAATAAAACACTCTTCCTTCTCCATCCCCAGAGATTCTAGCTTAGTTGGTCTGGTGGAGGCATTGGTATTTTAAAAAGCTCCCTGGAAAAATATTAATAGAGAGCTACTGCTTTTGGGGAATTCACAAAACTTCTTTTCATTAATCTAATCATTGCAGTTCCTGCTGGAAGTGAGGGAGTGATGAATTGTTGATGAATGTCAATGAAGGTGACCTGCAACTTCTTCAGACTATGTGTGGCTGTCCGAAAGGCAGCTCCACATCCCTGCCTAACAGCCTTCTTTTGGGAATCATTCATTGCACACCTGGGTCATTCTTCACCTGTGATGCTGGATCCTTCTAGTTACCTACCCTCCAGCACTGACCACAATCAATCTGTTTTCATAGATCTGCTGCAAATAAGCCTCCTTCTGCAATAAACCACCAACAATAGAAAATGGATTCGGTGGTTGCTTAGGCAATTATGCTTGTAAGCAGTTTTCCTGCTTCACATTTAATTTTTTTTAAAAGTTCTCAATGTATTATAAACATGGTTTTTAAATGTGTATTTTTCTTGTAATTGGCAGGAGAGGCAGCACACGTCCCTAGCTCCTCGGGCTTGGTGAATTCTTTTCCATCTTAAAGAGGTGGCCCACCAGATTTTCTAACTTTGCTCATAAAGAGATTTAGTCCCTCTATCTACCAAGAAGCCTTGGCCTAATCTCTAAGCAGTTTAATTTTTTTCCAGGCTAAATGGAAAATTCAGCTTCTTTGGACTGGTACCATTTTGAGATGATGTCGCAGGCAATCAAACTTCTAATTTAAAAACCACAGTGGGCCAGATTCTCCCAGGACTTGGACTGTTCTCTGCCTCTGGGTCAGGCACCTCTGAAAGCTGCATTAACATTACTGAGCTACAGGGATATTAGATGCGGAGCTCAATTTAATCAACCTAATTGTACTGAGGAATTTTGATCTTTTATGTCACCAGTAAGGAAACTTTAATTTCAACACCTGTGGCGGTTCCTGCACACATTCTAGTGAAATATCTCCTGCAAATTAGGAGCTCCTGCCTCCAGGGGTCACTGTGACTCAATGGAGGCCGGTGACCTTCATCAAGGATTCTAAGGAAGTAAGAATGCAGGTTGACAACCCTATGACTCATCCACTGAAGATCCTTCCCTGTCTTTCTGGTATAGTCAAGGGGGAAAAAGCATCCCCAGTCTTAAGGCTGAATCTGTTATGGTCTTGTAGTGCTATGTTTTAGCAGATGCATTTTAAAATGTAAGTTGTCAGAACAGCAAGAGTACAAGGTTTCCTGAGCTAAGTAGAAAAGATGGTTTTGTTTTAAAGGTATCAACAGCCATCAGGGAAATAGAATCTAGGGATAAATTGAGTTTAACCCTAAGGTTTGACTCAGAGGGATAGATGCTGCTCTAACTTTCTCTCTATGATGAATTCTTGTCCAGGTCTTTAAATGCCACCATTTAGAGAAACTCTGAGGACCAGAAGTTAACTGGGAAATAGACATACTTTTTCTTGGCTGTCACACTGGATCCCCAGTTTCTTCCTCTGTACTATGGCTCTTCTTAACATCAATGTTTCCTTCTAGAGGAGCAAATTCTGCTGTAGCTTAGTTAGGGGACAATGAGAGAGACTCAGGACCTCAAGACTGAGATCCTCTGAGAGCATGACCCTCTTTAAAGGGCATCCATTTCGGTTTTGCTGAAGCAATAGCCACAGTTCCAGCACACTCTTCCCTTTGGGTGCTTCCTGGGGAAGGGGACTGCAAGGCCAGTATGAGAGCCAAGCAAAGGGTTCCCTTTTCTCAGTCATTCCATGTGAGCTTCCCTGACATTGCTAGGGGATGCCTTTGATAAATCCCGTCTCCCAGGCAAATGGCAAGCACACTTTAAAAGCTTCTAAGTTCAGGAGAACCAAGATGGCGGCATAGGTTAACGCCGGAGTTTGCCGCCTCCAACAACCATTTCAAAAGTGAAACTAAAAGACGGAAGGGACATCATCCAGACCCACAGGAACGGTGGCTGAGGGGAAGTCCTACCACTAGGAGGAAAGAGT